TTTTTTCTAGGCTAACATTAGATTGAGCTGCCATGTAAAGTTGCTACTACATACATATTTCAGATGATAAGCCATATTTGAGGTCGATGAATGTTAGGTGAGGATATGAATGTCCTGCCCGATGTACTGTATTACCACAAAGACCAGCCGTTAACGATTTGTCTGTCACGGACTGCGTGATTTTGCCACTTCATGTGGAATTTTTTTTTTTTCTGCGACTAATAACATTTTGGTAATATGCAAATAAACAGCCTTTTAATTAGCAGAGTAGAATAGGCCTAGTCATGGCTGGTAGTAAGACATGCAAACATAAAAGAAAATCAAACTGGACGCGAGAACAGCTATATATTAAGGATATAATAAAAATTTGGAGTTGGGATAACCTCCAAACCAAAGCCGATACCTTTTTAAAAGATCATTATCGTCAAATGTTTCTGAAATGTTTATATTCCGAGGTAGATGGCAGGCAACAGCCATTTTAGGATAGTTAAGATTTGGTCTTAGTGACTTAGGAGTCCTCTTCACTACTCCTAACATTTCACAGATTTAGGAGCTAATTTTAGCGCTAAAACGCTTTGTGAAATACTCTTAGAACAAAAATTTAGGAGTCCTAAGTTTAGGACTGACACGGCCATTATTTTTACGATTTTCTCCTAAATCGGTGAGTTATTAGCTACTTTTGGCCTTAAGATATTTTGTGAATACGGGCCCTGGTGTTTGTGATAACGATATCAATGACAATAATTCAGGGAATCTTATGCATCCACCAAAAGACAAAAAAAATAAAAAATCCTGTTTCTTTAGAGAAAACTACTGTCTTTCCTATTTTTACCCCAAATAGGGTGTTGTGAGCATTACTGAGTACACACGTAATGCATTGACTGTTTAATTCATACTGGAAGGCGGAGGGCACCCTTGTGCAGAAACTCCATATTTGCATTGCAGAAGTAGGTTATTAGCACTGATGCTCCAGGAAATCCCTAATATGGACAAAGGTATCCAGTTATCACTTTAGCTGAATAAAATGCTGATAGAGAAATTTTAACTGAGGAAACTTAAAGACAATAAACATACGATTGCATCAACATGTGGTTTATCGGTGTTCTTCAAGCAATCTTGGGCGTTTTTATAAGGATAAAGTATATTTATAATGCAATTCTAATCGACATAGCCTTTATCACTGTGTATAATACTATAAAATAGTATGATTTCTGCCTCATTCTGTGATATGAAACCATGTCTGATCACAAAAAGTGATTTCAAACATGACTTATGTTAAGTTAATTTGGAGAAAAAGCATGTCAATAAATGGTATCTTTGTTGGACAACAGGTTTGTAAACCGGCTTATACATGTAAAACTGTATTGCACACGTGCTACTGTAGTACATTTATTCATCGCAAAGACTGATTTTTTTTTTTTTCGAACTGTACAGCCCTGACCAAACCAGTTCCAGATTGTAGAAGTAGCTCGTCCTTTAGCAATATACTCCTCAATTTCACATCCCCCTTCCACCATGTCACTCCGCACTGTCGCACACAGAAATACGTCAACAACTAGGCTTTATCATTATTATTGCGGGAAGACTAATTCTTATCGTGGGGAGAATTATTTCCCGGTATATCGCAAGATATCGCCCATCTCTAGTACCGCGTCTTCTCTCTTTGACTTTTTTTAGTGTCTGCACTACAAGAGCTGCTGCACGCTGCAATTCAACACTTTCGCTCGCGTTTCGGTACAGTTCACAATTGTCACTTGCCAAATCGGGTCATCATCACAAAAACATATTATTTGCACGTCTTTTTAAGCCATTAGGTACTTGGGCACTCCAGAGGCAGGTTTCTGTGCTCTTAGTCGCATCCAAAGCACGCGTATAAAGCTGAAACTGTTTCCAAAACTAAATTCAGGTCCTGAGTTTAACTGAATTAAGCAAATAACAATATTCAGTGATGGGATATGTTCTCTGCGTGGAGTAGTGCCTGGCACAATCGCAGCTTGTTCTTAAAACAAATGGAACGCAAACAAGTAGCATTAATAGTCATTCATTTTAGTTAACATATGATAATTTGAACAGATTTGTATTCTTATTGTAAAATAATGGAACATTTAGGTCATGAAAATTGTCTCAAAAGTCATGGAAATTTTTTGGTAAAAATGTGTAAGATCCATGAATATCTATAAAGCAGGGTGTCTGATGCCCATTATAGTTCTATGTCTGTCTTTGTCATGTTTCATTTTATGTTACCATGTTCTCATTGTTATTTTGGAAAAAATGGAAAATATACTTTGTATTAATAAATTGAACAATAATTACATTTTTAATATAAAAATACAAAATAGGATTGTTTTGGTTCAATCTGTTTTTTTCCTTAATAGTGTTTATTTATTATGAAAAATGTGTCAGCATCGAGAGACTTTGCCTCCTCATTTCAGAACAAACACAAACATTGTGTAATTTTATATATTTTTTATTTAAAAAGTTAGGCACACACAGAGTCATAATATGAAATACCCCCCCACCCCCCACACATTTTCAATTGTTTTACTTGAGTGAAAGGTTAGGTTTTTGTGAATTTTTTTAAATAAAAGATCAAAAGGATAACCAATGCAGGTTTATTTTTACAGGCTGCTTTGTTCATGTTTACAGAGGGTGTCAATAATTCTAGCAATGACTCTGTGTGTGTGTGTGTGTGCGCGTGCGTGTGTGTTTGTTTGATTTAATTTCATTTTAATTTATTTCATATTACCCATGCTTCTGATTCTGAATATGCCTGACATAGTTTAAATAATACTTTATTAGATGATGTTCATAATTTTTGGTTATTGGTGTAGCATGTAATGTTGATTTACTCTCTTCCCATTAGGGTTATCCTGACCAGGCTAGACTGCTGTTGGCCACTCAGGCTTTGGTACTGCGCATTTTCCACTCACAGCTCAAGCCCATCCTCAGCGTCATCATGTCTTTCAGGGTGCTTATTTTCTCTAGTTTTTAGTCAACATGAGAAAGTTCAAATTCAAACTTCCCATTTACAGCTATAAACAAAAATAAGATGCTGAAGTGTTAGTATTGTATCATCCCATGTTAAATTCGGTAGTCCTGATTATGTGCAGGCTCTTTTGTGTAATTGTTTGTACGTTTGCCTTCAGTTCAACCGCTGGGCGCTCCGTTGGTTCTTCTACAGTCTGCTGGTGAGACAAGATGTGCTGCACTACCTCCTTTGCTGTCTTCTGGAGGAACTGTCTGATAAGCAATACCAGCTCCTACAGAGGTAAGGGTGTGTGTGTTTGCACACATTAACCAAAACAAAAAACTTCATGTTAAGCATGTACATGCTCTATATCTGTTTCAGAAAGTGGAGTGAAACCGAACATTCCCTGGTTGCATACTTCCTCTGCATGTACTTCTGGGAAAACAGCGTGGTTCTGGACCTGAACACCTATCCCACCAATAGCTTGCTTGCCACTTGGAATGAGTAAGAAGCAGCAGTCCATCACTGTAGTATAGTCACAAGTATAGCATAATACAGTTTATTACATAAACATCTAGATATCTCGAACATACTTTACCAAAGAGTGTTATAGATGCATGAATATTAAGAGGCAGTTTCTAATGTTAAATTGAATTGGATGTTTTGGATATTCCTGATTTACATTTATCCAGAGGGGTAACTTGGGGATTGCCACTATAAAGCAATTTAGCAAATGTACATATTATATGAAAATGAATCTGTCATGCAATTTGTAAATGCACTCTGATTTCAGATCGCACAACCCTTGGCAACTAAGCTTGAAACTGTATCTTGAGTGCAACGTAAGAATATTTTCTATTAATTCATGTCTTGGTGTAATGTAAACTTACAAATATATATATTTGGTTAAATCTTAACTTGTGTTTTAAAGGTGAGCTGCTCTTCTCTCTCGCAGGTGGCCAAACTTACTCCAGAAAAACGTAAAATCCTGCATCTAATCCAACAGCAAGGAAAATAAGTCCAACATCCTGTTTTAAAAACAAATTGTTTTAATGTACATACAGAGTGGATTTAATGTTTTCATATATTATAAGTGGCATGGCAGTTTAGATTTTTTTTCCCCGCCGTTTGTCCAGGCTTTTGTTTTCCTTCGTCTGGGAATTTACCAGTGTTTTGCAATATTATGTGCAATTACAGGACTATGATCAAATCTGGTGGATGTTAAATACAAACGATTATATTCCGCAACAGAACTCAACTTTTTGACCGTCAGCCGTGTTGTAAATAAATGACAGTTTCAAATGCAACACTGATATAAAGCTGTTCAATTTTGCTTTGTTGTAGATCATTTAAGGTTTTGAAGTAACATTTCTCTGGAATCTTTGCACATGAGATTAGACCACAATATTACTGTAAATATTCACTTCAACTTCCTTTGTCAACAAGATATCAAAGCATGCGGATAATGTAAATATACTGTTATTGCTGGGCAAAAGCAAATTTTCATTTGAAGGCAATAAAAGCAAAGCAAAACTACTGTATAGAACACAAATCATTGGCTAGTTTATGAGTGAATGACACTTTCAGAGTTTGAAAATAGAGTTTGTGGTGTAGCTGAATCTGAGGAGATTAGGTGGAACCTCCATGAAGTGCAGTTTGATGAGTTCAGATAAATAATTTAGGATTTTCTTATCGTCTCTGTGAATTTCAGAATGAAAACATTGTGTCCATGCACTTTCCCGAGGCCTTCTGGGCGTATGGAAACCATGTGAAAATGTCAAAAGGAATGCTGTGGTGACAAGCTTGCTTTGCACACTTTGAGCAAACATGAAGTAGGTGTTTCCACGTTTAAAGTGGCTCCTTGGTTCCACCAGCGGGTTGAGAAGAGTACCACTGTAGACTGGGCAGCGCAGTGTCTTTTGATCCACATCTAGAATGCTGAGGTATCGGCTGTAATGGCCCAGGCAGTGAGGCATATTTGTGTAAGTAAAACAGCACATCCTGAGTAAATATAAAAACAAACCGTCAAGATGGCTTCATCTTAGCTAACAGTCTATGCTGTTTTTGTCTTCATGATAGTTGTTAAAATTGTACCAAAAGGGTGAGGAAGAAAACACTGAATGTTTATGCTACATACCAGAGGCACTCAACCCTGCACCTGAAGGTCTGCTTGATAAGTCAACATTCCATTCTGGATCCAAGCCTCTACTCCATTTTAACAGCCATTTATAAGCACTTCTTTTATAGCACAACTTTAAAGGGATAGTTCACCCAAAATTGAGAATTCTGTCATTACTCACCCTCATGTCTTCCCAAACTTGTAAGACTGAAACAGCTCAGACTTAGATTTTAGTCTGGCATTAGGCTTAAGCCTTGTCTGTGAAACCGGGGGTTGGTAAACTACAGTTTCCAGACACCAATATTTTAATGATTCAGAAAAGATTAATCCCTATCTGGCCAACTAAGATTTCAGGTATGGAAATAAAGAAATTAAGTAGTACTACAGCCAACAAAGAATGAACGTTAGCACTGTTTGTGGTTTGATTGCTCACCCTCATGTCTTCCCAAACTTGTAAGACTTTTTGTTCATCTTTGGAACACAAATTAAGATATTTTTGATGAAATCCGAGCTAAGAGCTTTCTGACCCTTCACAGACAGCAATGCTACTGACACGTTCAAGGCACAGAAAGGTAGTAATGACATTGTTAAAATAGTCCATGTGACATCAGTGGTTCAATTATAATGTTATGAAGCTACAAGAATACTTTTTGTGTGCAGCGAAAGCAAAAATAATTACTTTATTTTGAATTTGTGCTCTAAAGATGAACGAAGGTCTTAAGGGTTTGGAACAACGTAAGGGTGAGCTTTCATTTTTGGGTGAACTATCCATTTAGGCTGATGATGCACAGAAACATTCCATTCTGGATCCAAGCCTCTACTCCATTTTAACAGCCATTTATAAGCACTTCTTTTATAGCACAACTTTAAAGGGATAGTTCACCCAAAATTGAGAATTCTGTCATTACTCACCCTCATGTCTTCCCAAACTTGTAAGACTTTTTGTTCATCTTTGGAACACAAATTAAGATATTTTTGATGAAATCCGAGCTAAGAGCTTTCTGACCCTTCACAGACAGCAATGCTACTGACACGTTCAAGGCACAGAAAGGTAGTAATGACATTGTTAAAATAGTCCATGTGACATCAGTGGTTCAATTATAATGTTATGAAGCTACAAGAATACTTTTTGTGTGCAGCGAAAGCAAAAATAATTACTTTATTTTGAATTTGTGCTCTAAAGATGAACGAAGGTCTTAAGGGTTTGGAACAACGTAAGGGTGAGCTATCCATTTAGGCTGATGATGCACAGGGATCGCAACATATAATCATTGCTGTTAATAGTGTTCACCGTCTCTTTGATTACATGACATTAACTGCTTGATTTTTACCGTACATTTCTGCCATATGGACATCAACTTGAGATAGTCACCACTGATAAACTATTACAAAATATGTAATGTAGAAATTTTAATAATCTGTAAAGCTGCTTTGCAACGATTTGCATCATGAAAAGCGCTATACAACTAAACTTGAATTTAATTGAATCTGAAAAAGTGTTTTGACCCAGAAATGGTGACATATGTCAGACTTAACCAGATACCTTCCTGCAGAGTTTACCCACAAAGTATATGTATGAACTAGCTAATCAAGAAATTTGGTTCCCATTTGAAAACAGGAAGTCAAACATATTTAAGATGCATAGTAGATGTTACCTGTTAAAGCCGATAAGTTTCCAGTTGAGCAGGTCAGTTAGCTGCAGCGGCGTTGAAGTCCAAGGTTGAATGCCGTCTCTGTATCTACTCAGATGTGGCATGTACACAGACAGTGCTGTAACCAGCCGCCTCACTGCAGCCTCCTCGCTGCCTAGTACTACCAAAGTTCGGCCACACAGAAGGCTAAACACTGCATGCACTGCAAAGGGAAACTGTCGCAAGAACTGCAACGCTGCTCGCCCTACTCTGCCACGTCTCCGCCTGGTCCCACCTTCTCTTTTATTCTTTGGAAGACAAGTAGGAAAAGTGCATTCGGAGGTAGTCATTTAAGTAATTTTTATAAACGTGCCTTAGAAAAAACATTACTGGTGTGCATTTTGAGACGAAATAAAGGCACTGATATATTTTAAGATCAGTCAGAGCAAGTTTCTTTCAGTTGAAACAGCTCAGACTTAGATTTTAGTCTGGCATTAGGCTTAAGCCTTGTCTGTGAAACCGGGGGTTGGTAAACTACAGTTTCCAGACACCAATATTTTAATTATTCAGAAAAGATTAATCCCTATCTGGCCAACTAAGATTTCAGGTATGGAAATAAATTAAGTAGTACTACAGCCAACAAAGAATGAACGTTAGCACTGTTTGTGGTTTGATTATGATCTGAGAAGAGATTATGCCAATCCCCCAGAGAACCTCAGATGATGCCAACCCTCAGACAACATACAAAACTACCAAATTTTGCTATAAGTTTGATCGCAACATATAATCATTGCTGTTAATAGTGTTCACCGTCTCTTTGATTACATGACATTAACTGCTTGATTTTTACCGTACATTTCTGCCATATGGACATCAACTTGAGATAGTCACCACTGATAAACTATTACAAAATATGTAATGTAGAAATTTTAATAATCTGTAAAGCTGCTTTGCAACGATTTGCATCATGAAAAGCACTATACAAATAAACTGCAGCCATGAACAAGAGAAAAACAAAAAAATCTAAATAAATATTAAAAAATGTACTTTATTTAAATATTTTTAATAGTAAAATACTATTATATTAATATTAATATAAACATTTTTAATATAAATATAATTAAAAATATATTTGTATAAAATAAAAAATCTGCAATGCAAATAGCACTTACTTTTATGAATAAGGTGCATTTGATATTAAGAATATGTACATCTAAATAAAAAAATGATTACTGAAATAAAAAGAAAGTCGTCAAGAAATAGAAATTCACTTTATA